ATGGCACTGGAGAGCTACAGTGAGGAGCATACCCTCCAGGCGGTGGTGTGGCAGCAGGTGCTGCCCTTAGGCAAGAAAGACAGACTTCCTAGAGGAGCAGGGTCCCCGGTGGATGAGATGAGGCCAGATGCCCCCTCCCTTCCTGAGATCCAGGAAGGGAGGGAAGGAAGAAGGAATGGACGACCTCGGGAATTTCTGGAGACTCCCCCACAGCCCTGCCCCTCCCTGAGCTCCGGTTATAGGCGCCGCGCTCCACCACCATCAGTGACTCGCACTGCTTTCTAATCCCTGTGTGGGCATCTCCCAGGTCAAGCGTCAGAAGCTGAGAGTCACTTAGCAGGTCTGGTCTCCTCTCTCGACACAGGGAGGGAAGGAGTCAGCCGGGATATTTGGATGGAATTGAGACCGGTTCTGTGTTCCCACCGTCTCCCTGGAGACCTGTTCTCGGGGCAGCTGGGGGTGGGGTGACTGACGGCAGGCCCTCGGCTCAGCGCGGGGCTTTGGGAGAGCAGGTGAGACCTCACATCCTCCTGGGGCAGGGCCCTGCCCAGTTGTCAGGCAGCAAACAGCTCCGAGTTGCTACCAAACATGAACCCAACGGGCTGGTGTCTTGGGCAGGTGGCAGCAGATCCTGTTACAGGCCCTGGGCCTCCAGACCCCAGCCTGACCCCGGTGTCTCCTTTCAGGCTCTCAGGTCAGCACCCCGGGGGGGGGGGGGGGGGTCCAACCCCACGCCAGCCCACACAGTCTTCCCTCACAGGGAGCCTTGCCCTCCAGAGAAATCCGCTCTTCTGTGCCCTCCCTGCCCCTCCACCCAGGACCCTCTGTTCATCCTGGGGACACTTCCATTTGCTGTGAGCCCACCATGCACCCTGCTATATAATTTCAAATTCATCCTTGCAGAATCCTCACAATAGCCTACAAGGTAGGACTGTGCTATCCCCTGGTTTACAGATGAGGGAACAGCAGCTCAGAGAAAATGGGCCACTTCCCCATGGTCATGGCACTTGTCAGTGGCACAGCTGGGATTCCAACCCGGCCAGGTCTTCCGGCTGTGTAGCCCTGGGCTTTTTTCCTCTACATAGAACATACAGAGGAGCCTGCCACAAACCTCCTAAACCACGAGTAAAACACACACACACACACACACACACACACACACCCTATTCAGCCTGCAGACATAGCACATACAGAGCA